TGCTTTGGAGAATGACAGTGTTCCCTCGTAAACAACTGTAAACTAACATGTCACTCCGTCTTTAGTTACCATCTAACTGCTTCACGAGCTCAGGGTCTTGGTTACGATGCAGCAACGCCATCTTTTGAGAGGCTGATTGTACCCACCCACTGTTGTTTTTCCACTGGTACCTCTTTAATACACACCGCAACAGGCTTACTCTGATCTGATGGATGGATTTGTACTTCTCCGGAACTGACAATTCTCCAACAGACTTGATTATGGCCACGGCTTTGTTATCGTCGGGAGGGTCAGAGCTGGTGCAATAGGCCCCATTTTCATCGCTGTCCGGCATCTCCTCCTCCTCCTCACTGTAACTCTCATCAGAATTCTCATTTAAGGGAGACTCTGCACTTTCTTCTTTTTTAGGTTCATCCAATTGAAAGAGTTCTGAAAGCATGTAATTGGCTGAAGCAATAATCTTACAAAAAGAAAGAAAAGGTGTGACTGTCATCAAACCGGAGCACTCGCCGGTGAAGGAGCTTCACTGCTGAGCGCCTCCAGGAGCCCCGCACAGGCTGCCCCAGCACAGGCCTCAGCAGAGGCCCCCGAGCACGCTGAAATCCTCCCGGGGGAGTGTTCCCTTCCTGAAAGTACCCCATCCCAGCACTCTCTTAAGAAGGTGGCTCCTGTACTTCATGGGAGACTAGTCTCCAGGCAGAGTCATAACTACATTAGCAAGTATCCTATCAACTGAGAAACATTCTCTTCCTAAGCTATAAATAGGCAGCTGCTATTTACTCTGCAATCTATGGCCCCGGGGGAAACCCCCACTAGCTTAGTGAGGGAAAAGTCCACTGTGGGATTTCTTAAAATGGGCATGTATATATTACTACTTGTTCCACTCTATCATTTATTACTAAGTGGTTCTAATAACGTTTAATAGTTGTAACACCATATTCTGTCACATTCAGTATTCATCAAACACCACCTTTTCAACCAGCAATTAGATAATTAAGTTAAAAATGGTTTTCTGTTTTTCTGCAAAAAAAAAAAAGTTTTCTCTTGGTTTGGTCTCTAGGATAATCTTTATCTCTAAACTGGATGTGACTACAATAAATATTGGAGCTTAAAAAAAAAAAAAAAAGGTCCAGACTGCAGATCTTCTTGATTTAAAGAGCTTCAACTTAACTTTGCACCCAAAATACAGACACTGAGGGCACAGGGATAGAAAATCGGGGGCCCATGATTGAGGGACCATTCAGTGCTTTTATGCTACACTGAAGTATGGACTTGAGCCTTACCCATACTAACAGTGATTAACAAGATCCGGCTGTGTACACAGAAACTGGGAAGTTCCACGCCCCGGAGCGGCAGCGGGAAGGAAAGTGCACTGCACACATGTCCTCCCTTAGGAGTGTGACGTGAGCCGCACGCAACATCACAGACGTCCTAGCAGCCACGGTCACTCCTGGATGGCTTAATTTTAATATTATCTTTGATTTAAAAGGCACATAACAGGTGCACACACGGTCCCAAAATCCGGGTGTACTTTACACTGAAAGCACACCTTAACTCAGAGCGGGCGGCTTTTCAGTGCTCAGCAGCCACACGGAGCTCCCCCCTCCCAGCCCCCCAGAGGCAGCTACACATGAAGGCTGCAGTGCCAGGCACATCGTCAGACGCTAGGCTGCTGTCCCAGAGCATGCGGGCGTTCCTCTTACTTGAGGGTGTCTGCTTTTGTCCAACAATTTAACGCAGTTGAGAAGCAGCGTTCTGATAGTTCCGTAGTGTTTCTTGTTTTGGTTCTTTTTCATCATCATGTTGCAGGCAACCCTAAAAAACATTTATATCAGCTTGACGACCACTCACTATTCTCTGCAAAGTTCAAGTGTAGGCTGCCCCTTTCCTCCCACTGAGTAAGGATCACAGAAACAACCAGTTACCCTCCCCGCAAGGGTGTGTGTGTGTGTGTGTGTGTGTGTGTGTGTGTGTGTGTGAGAGAGAGAGAGAGAGAGAGAGAGAGAGAGAAAGAGAGAGAAAGGGAGAATACAAATACTTGGCTCGGGTGGTGTGGCTGTGCACTCTACAATTTTACACAAGGCTCCTCGTCCTTGTCTCCCCTGGCGACAGCACTCACTTGTATAGGAGAATCGCCACGGGCATGGTGAACGGGTTTTGGTATTTGTCTTCGGTTTCTTCACAAAGAGTCGTGAGATCATAGAGCTTCACGATGTCGCTGCCACTCGCTGCGGAAACAAGCAGAGTCTCACTCCCAGCAGCCACCCAAACCCCTCAGACCATGTTCGGTCCAGAATGAGCTCACCTTTAAAGAGCCAATAGGTATGTCCTTCTTTGGTGCAGTTAGATTTCAGAAAGGATAAAATATTCTGTGCAATGTCTTTTATGACTTTAGTAGAAAAATTAGAGTTTTCCAAATTAGGAATCTCTTCTGTCTTTATCATTTCATACTTCTATAAAACAGAGAGAGGGCGGGTTAAGAGAAATCTCGCAGCAACACTTCTCTTCCTACAAATCGAGCACATGTGTAAGTCCTGTCATTAGGGTCCTGTGCAGCCTGACCGAGATGGGGGGGGGGGGGGGGGAGATTAGGGGCACAATGAGCCAAGGCTGCTTGGACAGCACCACTGCTCTTAAAGCACCTCTGTATTTGTCCCAGCTTATTTTCTGGTCACACTTCCCTAAACTCCGCTGCCCACATTTCTGAAATACTCCAAGACTAGGAACTCCAAACCAGCTGGGAAACTGGACCCCAGGCTCCTGAGGCTGCTGTCCACCCCTGGTTCAGCTAAAGCCCTCCTGGATTTCAGAGAGCCCCTGGCCCACCTAACTGGACGCATCACCAGCACCTCATTTATTAACACTCGTCTTTTAGAATCCAGCTGGCGTTTTGGGGGATGCTGTCACTCAAGATCCACTGAAGATGCCACCCCCAGGAAGTCTGTGTTTCAGATCAGAAGAGACATGACCTCTCCTCTACAAACATCAGACTTCTGTGTGTGCATCACCCTTCCAACGCTTCACCTGCGTCTCCTATTTTCTCTGCACATTACTCCCTTCAGATTCTATCTTTCTGGGTCAGGACCATACTTTATTTTCTCCCCAACATTTAAAATGGGGACAAGGTGCCTCATCATAGAGCATGCTCAGCAACAATTTGCTATATAAGTGACCTATTACTGTGCCCTTTCCCTAAAACTTTGCATATACTGAATAGATAGCTGTGTACTGAATAAATACCTCTACTGTATAGACACTGTTAACTACAATAGGTGTCTGGCATTAAAATTATAGTCCTATGGCTACACTGAAGGTTCAGTGTATTTATGATCTTCTCACAGATTACCTGTAAAATTATCCTCAACAACTCAAATGTGAAATACTTGAATTTCAGTTTATTCACAGCTACGGTCCTTGCTAAAAAGTACACCTTGGACTTTCAGTGAGCACTATTCTCCACACCCATTTGCTCTGGAGAGATTATTAGAGACGCACGCGTCTTACCTGTACAATCCCATTTACATGGAAGCACATCACAAGCTCTGGAACATTACAGATCAAGTTGTCCAACCAATAGTCAATTCCAGTTAGCACATTAATTGGCTTGTTGTTATCCCTAAAAATATAACATTTCTGGTGTTATTTGGGTTAAGATGTTTCACAATGAATCACTTGAGACTTTTTCTCCCATTTAACTATTTTAATCTGTGCTCCTACGTGGGAAATGCCATATAAGCTCTTTGCAGATGAAGTATGCACACATAGCTGTCCTATTCACCATTTCTGCATAAGCTCTGCTTGCTCTCTAACTAGAACCCATAGCATTTTCAGTAGAAACAGGAGAGATGGCAGCAGGTGACTGTGGGCCCACTGCACGCTCCTCCAACAACGTGGGGTGAAAGACTGCCCACCATGCCTGCTGGCGCCCAGGCCGGAATGCACACATGCTAACATGGGCACACACTCTGGAGCATTAACAGGCGCTGGAAACCACCTCCTTCACTGTAAGTAAATTCTACCACACTTCACAAGCAGACGCAGACGGAAGATGAGGCCAGGTCAAGACCTCTGAGTCCATTCAGCAAGGACCAGGGCGAACCCCCAGCTCCAGGGCACCCAGCATTCCCTGAGACTAGCTCCTTCTTCATTGTGCATTTCAATTCCACCAAGAGGAGAAGGGTGCCCAGATCGATGGGTGCGAGCAGACGGACAGAGGTCCTAAAGGAGAACGGGAGTGGTTACCTGAGACGTAAGCTGACTGCTGGGTATCTGCCTCCTCCAAATATAGGCATGTTGGAGCCAACCAACATATGTATGTCTTCAAACGTCCACAGAATATTCCGAACAAAGTCATTTTTAAGACCCTTTGATTTAAAATAAAATTGGAACGGTGATTATATAACACACAGGAGAGCTGTAATTCCCCCCACGATCCACAGAGAGACTAGAAAAAAGAAAGGACAAAGGAGACGAAGTAAGTGAAGAGGACAGAGCTGTAAGATCAGAGCTGTTTAAAGATGGACTTTCGGGATCAGGTAGATCTCCCCGCTACGAACTCTAATGGAGACTAGTTTTTAGTGACGAAGCAGGCTGGGGCTGGGTGTCTGGACGCGGACACCCTGGGAAGCATACCTGACTGTTCTCCCCGTCATTGAATAAAGTAGTCAGGTTTTGTTCTTTGGGGGCTGAGGCCAGATGCCCCACTATGTATGAGGGTTCGAGAGGCTCACTTCCCTGTGAAAAGTGCAAGGATAGGAATGACTCTGCTGCCAGAAGTTCTTATAAAAGGCCTACTGTTAGAGTATCACCTAAGCATTCAAAGCAGACACCTCAAAGCTCCTGCTGTCATCAGGCTAAGACATATTCTCAACGCTTGTCCCTGTGGCTTCCAACAGCGCTTAGCTATCCCAGCCACTGCGCAAGCCAATCACATTTGGCTCGCACTCAGAAAAGATTAAAGATTACTTTAGCTTTCAAAGTTTTATATTTCACAGTTTTGGGGGGTAAATTTCAATACCATTGATCTTTAGCCTACCCCATCTCCAATCAAAACATTCCTGAGAAACCCCAGCCCCATTCTGGAGACACCGTCATGGTAATAGTCTCTAGTTTTGCATTTTGTCTATCAGACCTTGGGATACTTGGTAGAAATTTCCAGAGTGAGCGGTGAGAAAGGCTACTCGCTGTAGACTTGCTTCTGGAGAGTAACAATGCTTATGAGCATGGAAAAGCCTCTAAAAGGTTCTGTAGTAGAAAATTGACTTCTCCTCCATGTAATCCAATGTTCTTAAACTGACTTAATAGCAGACCACTTTTAATTCTTAATACATCCTGTGGATTATACTTTCAAAAACACTTTTAGAAAGAGGAACTTCTGACAGTGGGTAAATTCAGTCCACCAGTCATTTTTCCAATCATTAGGCAGCTGCCATGAAGACACATTACTTTAAGTCAAATGTCAATGCCACCGTAGTCCCCAAGATGGGCATGCTTATGTGTGCACACACTGTAGTTCATGAACTCTCACCCTCGGTGTGTGCTAACAGGCTTCATCTGCCTGCAACGTGCACGTGACTGTACACACGCTGTGTGTGTGGGTGAGTGCACGTGCATGAATCTCCAGCACTTTTGCTGTATGCTTAAAGAATACTCTAGAGCAGTGTTTCCCAAACTTTTGATATATGTGTACCCCTTCTATAATTTTCGTAATGCTGAGTACCCCTCATACTCATGAGAATGTAGAATTTAGCGCAGCTAAGCACGGTACAGTGCATATCCCCACCAAACTCCGGTGCAATGCGTACCCCCCCCAAACTCTTCCTGTACCCTTGGGGGTACGCATACCACACTTTGGGAAACACTGCTCTAGAGCTTTAAACTTTATTATGTATTTACACAGACAAGTTATTCACCTGGGGACCAACTCTCAAAATCGTATTTGCCAGGTAGTTGCTTTAAATGAGAGTTTGGGCTCTAGGTTATGATGTTCCAAATAAAGGTCTGGCTCTCAGGCCATTACAAAGATACCTAGTTCGCCTACTTCAACTCTATTATTGCTTAACCTAGACCTCAAAATAGTGGTTAAGGTTTGGGGAACAAGGATTCATAAAGTAGTGGCTTGCAGACAAAAATAAATCTCTAAATGCTGAAATTAAGGCTGTATAACATGTTCTAAAAATATTCTGAGAAAGGTTTATTTTATGGCAGGAAAGCTCTTCACGGTACTTGGCATTGCTAAGACAATCTGACTGCTTTGAGGCCATTCTGAACATGTGTGGAACACGTGGACACAGTGGAGCACGGCTCAAGAACAGGCCTCTGAAGTCACAAGGATCTTAACACTAGCTTAGATTTCACCAGCCATGCAACCAGGGACAAACATCACTCTGTATGAGCTTTCGTTTGTTTACTTGTAACATTCAACACATACCATAACACATATGCAGTACTTTATACGAATGGCATGACATGCAGGGCATAAGAAGCACTAACTAGATGCCAGTTCACGTCCTCCTACAGCTTCTCAACAGCCTCCAAGGTCTTTGAGAGGGAGCCCTACACAAGCTAAGGACAGAATGGGAAGGGGAGGTGGGTGGTGGGAGATGGTATTCCTATCGTGTCTGTTTATAATGTGTGGGTTTTGAAGCCAAGGAATACAAAAAGAATTTTAAAAAACTCCTTTGGTGAACTATAATCACATACATGAACATGTATGAAACAAATAACACAATATAATGGTTAACTACAAAGCAAATTAATCATCCTGTGTTAATACCAGTGTAACCAGTTCCCAGGCCTGACCTGGGCCTTGCGTGTGCCCGGCCCCCACGCCTTTTCATCCACACCACCCCCTCCTGCTAGTTCCTGTTGTCACCTTGCATGGTAATTACTTCCTTTCCTTTCCTCATTTTTTCCTAACTTGGGAGAGATTTGAACTCATTACATAGTTTAATAAGGTTTTTTCATCTTAAAACCTACAAAAACTAAAATCAAGTTAAACATATTTGCCTCCTTGTAATCCTATAATTTGTAAAGATAGCAACAATTTGGGTGAATAATTTTCAATATGTGAGAACACGTAGCAAGAGGAAAAATAATTTACCAAATTAAAGATCCTATTTTTATTTACTTTAAGTTTATCAATAGGTTTACCTGAAACAGACATACAATTCACATCTGTGGAGTTCTTTTTTTCTTTGACAGAAACAATGACAAAACTAAACAAGCAATAAGAGGAAACCAAGAATATAAGAGACAAAAAAGAGACAACATGTTCACTCTGCCTTCCTTTCTAAAAACTTTCTAACATTATGATAGGTTAAAACCTCAGGAACCTCATCCAGAAAATCTTAAGGGTGATTTTAGCCCTAAAAATCTGACTAAAAGTTAAGGTCAGTATTTAAATTACAAGCAAGTCTCTGAGTCAATATTTGATAGGCACTTGCTTTACACCTAAAGTTTAAAATATACTACATCACTGTATTTATTATATATTAAATACTCTCATGACTTCAAGGAGATAGTCAGCATTGATAAACATATTGGTGAACTATGTTAAATGCTGAGAACATTTTTTAAATTTTTTAATTTAAAAAAATCTGATCTAGCCATTCATCTCTCTTGCAAATTCTTAAAATTAAAAAAAGTATGTGGCCGAAACCGGTTTGGCTCAGTGGATAGAGCATCGGCCTACAGACTGAAGGGTCCCGGGTTCGATTCCGGTCAAGGGCACATACCTTGGTTGCGGGTACGTCCCCAGTAGGGGGTGTGCAAGAGGCAACTGATCGATGATTCTCTCTCATCCATGTTTCTAACTCTCTATCCCTCTCTCTTCCTCTCTGTAAAAAAATCAATAAAATATATTTAAAAAAAAGTCATTTAAAAAATAATAATAATAAAAATAAATAAAAAATAAAATATTCACTTATGCCTGGGTTTGACCATTATTAGACTTCAAACAACTGAAGATAAACATTTATTTAAAAAAAAAAAAAGTATGTGTTCATAATTGTGAGACATACATTGAATATTTTATATTGCTGTTCATCTCTTTTATTGGCAAGATAATTGGTTCTGTCTTCTTAAATGAGAATGCTGAGTTAGCCTTGGGGTACTAACTGACCTGACTGGAAGCACTGGGATCTTCGGAAACCGGAGAAGGCATTTCAAAGGGCGCGGGCCATGATGCCCCATCCGAGTCACCTGTCTGGTCTGAACTGGACGACTCCCGCTGTTCGGCAGCAGACGGGACAGGCTGTGCGGCCCCATCACCATTGATACTGGCCAAGTCAAAAACAGAATATCACACTGTCACTCAGGGTAAGCTCATGCAAGCCTATTATTTTTTAAAGCCAGACTCTATAATCAAGCATACATCTTACTTTTAAAGAAAAAAAATATAAGACATTGAAATGTAAACAATAGCATAGTGACAAACCTTAAATTATTTTTTTTTTCTGGCTTCAAATTAAATTTTAGATCAGAATTTAATTTTTCATCTTTAAGATAAAATAAACAAAGAGCCAAGTACCTGTAATATAAAAACTTGGAAAGAATAGCCTTTTGATACCAATGCTCTTTGCTCTTTTTCTTCCTCTGCCACTTCTGGTCAATAAGTCTCTGATAAAACTCTTTCAGCCATGTCCAATCACCAGTCTGAATAACATAAAAAATTAATCAATACAACAAACATATAGTCAAAACAATTTGTTACCTATTACTCTTCTTACAGGAAGTACTCTTTACTTTTTGAATACTGTTTCGTAAATACGTCCTCAATGTAAACCACCGTAACTTATCTTCCTTTACCAACGCATAGAGGAATAGTCTTAAACAACCGCTGTGGATTGGTGGGACCATGAACTATTTGTAGACAGTGCGGGAAAAGTTAAGTACAGAAATAGAGAGTAAGCCTTGGGAAACAATAATATGGTTATTTTGTACAAAAGCACTCATCATCAATACATGGGGGGGGGGGGGAGATAGGCATCTACCAACATTGTTTGAGAGGCACTGCTTTACATGAACCAGTTAATTCTAATAATTATATATCTGGAAAAATAACCTTTTTCACATTTCCTGGCAGCCATGTTTCACAAGTATCTCTTTAAAGGAGACATCACAGGGTTTTTAAAAAATTTAAACTAGTCCCTTAAATTTCAGACTTTTCATCTTTTCATTGGCTTCATCCTTTTCCTTGCAAGAATCCTGCTGGTTGGTATCAGTAAGTTTCTTGGAATTCTCTCCTTTCTACTTTTTATTATCTGTGAAACTCTGGCTCCTAAGTTGCTGATGTCCTCAGCTTTGTCTCCACGTGGGCCTTTCTTGGGAACAGATCACCTTCCTAGTGCCCTCAGGTTGCTGACACGCTGCTTTCGGGTGGCTCCTCAGAGTCCTACCTGGGAAGACCTCATGAAGAGCTCCTGGATGTCCAGCTCGTCCAGCAGGAGGGTCCTCCCCACGCGGTGCACCGCCATGCTCACGTGGGACTTGCTGTAGGGGATCTTCAGGAGCTTTTTTATGTTCTTAAGGAAATTAAGAGGAAAGAGTTTAGAATCCGGAACTTCCCATGCACAAACCTTCCTTTCCTAAGGTTATACAAATGCACTTCCCACAGGAAGCTAAATGCAAACACGCGAAGGACAGTTCTTCAAAACCTCAATCACCTGTGCTTTACAAGCCATGCTGTTAACCTGACGTCACACCTGCACCGACCTAGGCTTTTAACATATCAGATAAAGATGACCAACCAAGGAGCAATCCATTTTGCCAGAAGCATCATATCTCATTCTCAACTGGAAACATACAAAATCATCCCAAACATTCTAATCACTGTAACTGCTCTTTTTAAGACACTACCAGTGTTTTGGGTTATTCCTTCCTCTCTGAAGAATGGCTGTGTGTTTGTTTAATAACAAAAAAAGGCACTTAATAATCAGACAGTGGTCTCATTTCATCAGTTTTTCAAGACTCCTGCATAGAGCATGCTCTAAGTGCCTGGTACCGATGGCCTTCCCCACCAGGACACTTACCTCAGAGTCAGAGACAACGTCCACATCGTTCCCCACGGAATCAATAAAGTCGTACGCCATCCCAAAGCTAATGGAGGGAATGAAGGCCACAAAGGTCACGCCCACAGTGATGCAGGTAGTTTATCATAGATAATGTCAACTTCAAGGACACACATTTCCCACATTCTGACATCTCTGTATCAGCATACCTCTCACCATTACAGCTGGCTATTTTTCCTTCTTAGTGGCATATAAAATAATGGTGTTACTTAAAATCAATGGCATCTTAGATTTGATAAAGTATAGTAATAATCATTAGGAGCAATTAAAAGGAAACACCTAGAATAAAAACAAATAACTATTTTCATTTTGGTAATCACACACACACACACACACACACACACACAAAAACCCTCCAAGAGAAAATAGTTCAAGATGTTATTCTTTTTATGTGAAAAGGTAAGAAAAATAGAAACAAACATTTTTCAAGATTAAGTTTGGGACTGTTCCTAGCGATATACAATATTACTCTTTTAAAGTATATATGGGAAAAAAATACACCCGACTCCAATTCAGCCAGGAGGAAAGAAAAACAATGTGTGCCAGATGCCACACGTGGCACATCCATATGCGGCATATCCCTAACCCACAAGCCTGAAAAGCGCCCGTGTCCGCATTTCCCAGCTCGGAGCCAGGACTCTCACCCGGCACCACCTCACTTCAAAGCATGCTCTGATGAGTTACTGTGTGGGCTGGGCAAGCTACTTAACCTTCCTACGCTTCAGTCTGTCCACGAGAAAATTAGTCAGCAGCACCGAACTCAAAGGTGGTTTTGAGAACTAAAAGACATCAATGTATGAAGTACTTAACATAGGGTGTGCAGTCAATATAATTACTGTGTAAGTCACCTTATAACATTTTGTTGTTGTTAATCCACACGGATACCCTTTCCACTGATTTTTACAGAAAGTGGAAGAGACAGAGAGAAAAACATTGATGTGAGAGAGACATCGACTGGTTGCCTCCAGCACGCACCCCAACTGGATCAAGCCTGCAATTGAGGTACGTGCCTGTGACCGGAATCGAACCTGAGATCCTTCAGTCAGAGGGCAGATGCTCTAACCACTAAGCTGCACGGCTAGGGCTCACCTTCTAACATCTGTGTTCACGTTTCATAATTCACTAAGCCATTCTTCTAGAAGAAGATACACCGACTACTAACAACTTTTGCTAGTAGATTCCACTAAGTAGAAATACTGCTACAAACACACACCATTGTGCCAACAGAACTTTTACCTCGAGTGGCATTAGGATAATTTCCAAACTACTGGCTCATAAGGCATTGATGTATTTATGGCCCTGCCATACATTGTATGGGAATACGTCAGGTTCAATCACTGAGAGGGAGAACCCCAGACATGACATGGTCTACAAGAATATGGTCGTTCATACATGATCCTCAGTAAGACCCAAGCTACCCTCTCAAGCACCAACAGCAGCATTTCCAGCAAGTGTCCAAGTCAAGGGCTCGAGCCACCCGACCAACATGCTGGATGTCCGCGCCAGGCCTCCTCAGACCCGACAACCCAGCGCCATTAAATGGAAGACTTCGCAGGAGGGACCCCGCCGCCCTAGGTTGGGGCGCCACCCTACCTCTCTGGGGTCAGAATCCAGCTGTTCATAACGAGACGCAGACCTGAGAGAAGCCTGTGCCATCTAAGCTCCCTCTGGCACCATAACCCTATTGGCGGGGGAGACGGGGCTCTGAAGTCAAAAAGGGCCTTTTTCCAGAGAGAAACCGCACCCGGACGAGGAGCTGAGGCACCAGGCGGGAAAGCAGGGGCGCTCCGTGGCGGAGCAGGGCACTCACCTGGAAAAGGGCTTGCTCTTCTTCCCGGTGCCCAGGATGGTGGTTCCCGCGGGGCCCAGCTTGGCGCTCTCCCGTAACCAGTTGGCGGGCGGCAGTTTCAAGTCTGTTTTCTCTTCCAGGCGCGCAAAGGCCGCCCGAGGGGGCGCCGAGGAGTACTTCACCACCGCCCGGCTCTTCACCTCGCTGCCCCCGAGGAGCAGCGCCGAGCCCTGGGGACACGGCGGACACTGGGTGAGCACCCAGGAAGAAGAAGCCCATCAGGAGGCACTGAGCCAGCTCTTCTCCCTCTTTAACATCCCGTCCAGGAGAACACCCGTGGAGGAGGAGGAGGAGGAGGGGGGGGGGGGAGGGGGAGGAGGAGGGGGAGGGAGAGGAGGAAGAGGGGGAGGGAGAGGAGGGGGAGGGGGGAGGGGGAGGGGGGAGGGGAGGAGGGGAGGAGGAGGAGGGGGGAAGAAGAGGAGGAAAAAGGGGGGGAGAGGAGAGGGGGAGGGGGAGGAGGGGGGGAGGAGGGGGAGGAGGAGGGGAGGAGGAGGGGGGAAGGAGGGGGAGGAGGGGGAAGGAGGGGGAGGAGGGGGAAGGAGGAGGAGGGGAGGAGGGGGAGGAGGATGAAAAAGGGGGGGAGGAGGAGGGGAGAGGAGGAGGGGGAGGAGGGGGAGGGGGATGGGGAGGAGGGGGAGGGGAGGAGGAGGGAGGGGAGGAGGGGAGGAGGAGGGAGGGGGAGGAGGGGAGGAGGAGGGGAGGAGGGGGGAGGAGGGAGGGAGGAGGGGAGGGGAG